GCTTGCTTAGCAGAGATGTTAAGAAATGTAGACAAGAAACCAAAAAAAGCTAAAAATGATGACCATGACAAGACAAAGAAAGAGAAAACTAAACAGTTCTGGAAAAGGGTCAGAGATAGATATCACAAAGTGAGGCTCACATGGAGCTAAAAACTAAAGGTAAAATTCACAGGCTGCTTCAGGAGTACATTTACATAGCTGTCAAATGCTGCATCTTAAACTGTATGAGACTGCCCACTCAGATTGTGCCACCTTTTACATTTTACTATTGGTGGTTTGCAAAACAATAAATCCTGTGTGTTGATGCATTGTGTTCTATACCAGTGCTCACCATTCCTCCATCATATTGACTGCACCTAGTTATAGGAATTTAATAGTTTTTAAAGTTTTACATTCCTGTATATGCAAAGATTTGTTTTATTGATATGCAATAAAGGCATAGAAATTCTTTAAAAAATAAAAGCATGCTTGCTCTAATCTCTTAAAGTAACTTGTGAGTCTTCCATGGATCATATTTGAGAGTTGGGGAAACTCTTCTATTGCATACACTAGAATAAGATACTGGGTCCCAAGGCTCGTGCCTCCCAAATTCATTGTACAAATACAAAAATTACAATGTCTGGTAGCTACTTGCCAAGGAACTCCTGAAATCCATCTGTTCATCTCTGTCACAAATCCTCCCTTATCCTTTTGAGAGCAGGACCTTAACTTTCCCTGACATTTGCTGCTTTGTGCCACCCACTAGGCAAGGAGGTCAAACAGAATTTCATGGATCTCCCAATACTAAAGAAGCTCCTCTCCAAATAGAGATGGGCATGGCTCCTGTGGTCAGGGATGATATGTTCTTGAGTGGGAGTGTGATGTGCTAACTCTTGGTTAACAACCTACCCATGGTTTCCTCTATACCGAAGATATCATTTGTGCTATTCAAATTCCTGTGGCTTGTCTGACTCCGCCCTTGCTCTACAGTGACTTCATTCCACAAATTAAGGAATGAGTCTCCAAATGTGATCCCTGTTAAATATAACAGTGGGAATAAGAGAGGGAAGAGATGTATAATTTGGGACATGCTCAAGCTGACTTGCCCCAAATGGTAGAGTTAGAAGCATACCAGGGGATTCCAATTCAATCCCATCAAGGTGGCATGTGCCAATGCCATCTCACTAGTCCAAGTGATCAATTTCAGTTCACAATTGATCATAATGAAAGGACTAAGAGTCAAAGGGATCACATAAACAAGTCTAGTGCCTGCTAATACTAACCGATAGAATAAATAAAGGGGAGAGCGATCTAACATGGGAAGCGGGATACACAGCAGACCCATAGAATGGCAGATGTCCTAAACAGCACTCTGGCCTCAGAATCAGCCCTTAAGGCATTCGGATCCAGCTGAAAAGCCCATGAGAGTATTTCAGGCATGGAAAGCCAAGATACTCTGGCAAAAAAAAAAAACAAACAAACAAAAACAAAAAAAAAACAAAAAAAAACAAAAAAAAAAAACAAAAAAAAACACACCTAAATGAAAGATCTCTGTGAGTGAGATCCCAGTGGAAAGAACAGGTCTTCAAAGAAGGAGGTACCTTTCTCTGAAAGGAGGAGAGAACTTCCACTTTGACTATGACCTTGTCTAAATAAGATAAGAGTCAGAGAACTCAAGGGGCTTCCATAGCCTTGGAAACTCATGATTGGAGCATAGGGAGATTACTGATGCCATAAACAGGAGTGTCAATTGGTAAAGTCAACAACAGGAGTCACTGTGCACTTACTCCTCATGTAGGATCTTTGTCCTTAGTGTGCTGTACATTGAGATTTAATACTATAACGAGTACTCAAACAGTATTTTTCGGTTTGTGTTTCTGTGTGGGTGCAAACTGTTGAAATCTTTACTTAATGTAAACTAAACTGATCTTCTGTATATATAGAAAATTGAAAATGAATCGTGATATGAATGGAAGGGGAGAGATAGCAGGAAAGGGGAGGGTTGTGGATGGGAGGGAAGTCATCTGGGTGGGGGGGGAGCCAATGTAGTCCATAAGCTGTACTTTGGAAATCTATATTCATTAAATAAAAGTTAAAAAAAAAAGGAATGAGTCTCAAACATCTAAGCCTAGGCACCTGCATCTCAGACCAGAGAAGCAACTGTGCCATGAATATATAGATCTCAAAGTTACACTCCTTGAAATAGAAAATGAACTTGCAGGTATCAAAGAGCTAGCCTGTACCAAAGAGCATTTGGTCCTATGTCCTTTCCTAGGAATGGTTCCTCCTATTTACATGGTCACACACTTCTGCCACCAGGAGCTGCTCATACTAGGACTGGAGATGTGGACTCTAAGAATTCCTGAGAAGACAGAAAGTAGGAAGACCACGCTCACTGACAGTTTGCTGTCCTTAGGCACTCCCTTTCTCTGTGTCCAAGCTCTATACTCCATGTGTTGACTGGACTTCGCATTTGGAGGATTTATCTTTTCCTGAATGCAGAAGAATGAACAGTCCCTGTTATGAAGATACAGGGACTGACAATCAGGGAGCAGGATTGACAAATGCAGAATCCAACAAAGATTAAGAGCTAAGCGCAATCTTTTCTGATCACCGCTACTAAAAATACTTAGTCATGTACCTGTGCTGTCTGGCCATGTTTGGTTTGGTATTTATTTATTTTATGAATATATTCTTTAAACAGATATTCAGATAAAATTAATATTACCTTTCCTCACAACCCCTGTCCTGAATCAATCATTGTGATGTACAGTTTACATCCTCCTATCACTTTTCTCTTATACTTATATCCACATGTCTATAGAAATGTGCAGTGAAGGAAAGACAGATTTCATGTGGCTTTGAGTTTGGAATACAATATGAAATGTTACATAAAATTCCAAAATAATCCAATACATACTTTTTAAAATTTCAGAAATCATATAACTTTCTTATGTAGTATAGTTGAGTTATGAATATAGCTCACCTATCATGGAATTCATGAACTAAAAGCATACATATAAATCATTCCTTTCCAGTAATTGGTAGCCATCTCTGCTGCCAATTTAGAACACTTTAACACCTCTAAAAGAAAGTAGGAGGTGGGGCAGTTGGCCTAGTGCTGAACATGCTGCTGGGGACACCCAGATCACGTAGTGCCAGGATTTGAGTGCCATTTCCACTGCTGGTTGAATTCTAGCTTCCTGCTAGTTGGAAACCCTGGGGGCACATCCAGTAGGCAATGGCTCAAGTAATTGGGAACCCTAAGCCATTTGGAGACCTGGAGTTAGTTCCCAGCTCGCAGCTTTTTAAAAGTTGTTTTAAAAATAATCAATTTGTTAAAAAAAAATAAAAAACAGAGAGAGGAAGAGAAATTGTCCACCCAGTAGTTCACTCACCAAATACCTACTATATCTAAGACTGGGCCAGGCTGAAGCCAGAAACCTTAGATCTTAATCTGTGTTTCCATGCAGGTTGCAGGAACCCATGTACTTAATAAACATCACGATGATCACCTACTGCCTCCCATGGTGTGCACTGGCAAGAATATGGAATTGGAAGAGCCAGGTTTAAACTCAGCTACTCTTATGTGGAATGTAGCTATCCAAACAATTTAACTACTGCACCAATCACCCAACTCAGCATAAAATTTTATATTGGAGTATCAGGTGGATATTACCTGCTTTCCATTCATGGAAAACATTTAGAAACAGAAAATAAACCTTTGAAATATCAATTTTTCCTTGGGAGAAAATAGTTCACAGTCTTGTGAGTTTCAGGGTAGAAGTTGGCATTTAGCAATTGGATAAATCTCTGGACATTTATGGGTTTGTTGCCAGACTTAGTGCTCTGGATTGGAAATTATTTATCCCTTCTGAAACTCATGGGGAAATTTAATCCCAATTGTGAGATATTAAAAATTGGGTCCAGGGGCTGGCACTGTGGCCTAGCATGTAAAGCAATCCCACATGGTCACCAATCCAACTCTCTGTATGGCCTGGGAAAGCAGTAGAGGATGGCCCAAGTCCTTGGGTTGGGCCTCTGCACTCACGTGAGAGACCCAGAAGAAGGTCCTGGCTCCTGGCCATTGTGGCCATCTGGGGAGTGAATCAGCCACCAGAAGACCTCTCTCTCTCTCTGCCTCTCCTTTTCTCTGTAACTCAGACCTTCAAATAAATAAATGACTCTTAAAAGGGGGTGGGGTTTAGGACAGACTTTCTTAGAGGTGATTAGGATAAATCCACTCACGTGATTAATGGGTTAATGGCTGATCTCCAGAGGTTTTCCATGAACTCCCTGAATTTGTCCCCGTGCCACCTCAGGCCTCTGCCAAAAAAAAGGACACCGCCAGACGCTGCTCAACCTCGGGACCAAAACCTTGAACCAAATAAACCGTTTCTACCGCCCACCCGGCGTGCGACACTGTGCTCACGGTAACAGGAAAAAGGACGCAGTGTCCTAGGAAGAGCTACTCCGAGAGAACTCGGCGGTGCACCTGAGACTCCACTCCCCTTGTAGTTAGAAAACTCAGGGCAATCAGGGCACCGTGGGCAGAAAGAGGGGCAGGAGGACCCGCAGACCACAGCTCCTCCCCCAGTGCAGTCCACAGTCTCCCTGAGGACCGTCCCAGCCTAACTGCACAAACAGGGCAGACCTGGGGCTGTGGTCCCTGGGCTGAGCCTGCAGGGGCAGAAGCCCAGGTCCTGGCCACCAGCGCAGCTCCCACCCGGTGGGCCCCACACTCACCATTTCCTCGCTTCCGAGGCATTCTGGAGTTCTTGGGCGGCTCCTGCGGTGCAGGAAGTTCACACAGCGCAGCCCCTGAGGCACCGGAGCCCGCTCAGCAGCAGAACTGGGGACCATTCCCAGAGGTGCCACAAAGAAAGATCCCGCTGGGCTCCGCAGGGTCGCCCTGACGTGCCTGATTGGACAGTGGCCGCACTACGTCACAGAAGGTGTAGCCAATCAGAATCCGCTAGGCTGGGGCGGTTCCTTGGGGCGGTGCCTGGTAACAGGGGAGGTGGGGCTCAGACTGAAGCCGCTGTCTTCTCCGGGCCCGGGCGCTCCGGCAGCAGGGGGCGCTGTCCCTGCTCTGGTGACCTCGGCTTCTGGGCGCCCTCAGCTGTCTGCGGTCCTGCTGGATCCTGTGAGCCCAAGCTTGCTTCCTGAGAGCTGCAGTTTACAAGGTGCTCGCTGAACGCGTGCCTTTCCCGCAGTCTTGGCTTCTTGTTGTTAACTCCTCTGAAGGTTCCTAAGCTGTTTACTTGAATGTACTTAAAGATATCACATGAACTATTTTTCCTTTGATTTCTTTCGCAGCGATTTGTTAGTCTATGTTTTGTTCTTCAAGTTGTTTTCTGTTTATTTCCTGCTGGTGAATAGTAAAACAGTTGATGGCATATATTGACTTTCTACCCAGTGATCTTGTTAAATTTTCTTAATATTTTCTATATCTGAATTATGTTGGATTATCTGTTGATAATGTCATCAACCACATATATTGACAGTTTTGTTGCTTAAAAGTTGGTCCTTTCACCGAATATTTCCTTTTTATTAATTTCTCTGATTATGTTTCTATGTTGAATAGAAATAATGAGAAGAGACAGCTTTGTCTAGGTCTGCTCCCAGGGAAAAAGATTTCAGTGTTCTGTGTCAATTATGCTGTTTTTAATAGGCTCACTATAGTAGGTAATCTTAGTTGGAATAATGAAGTTGCTAATATGTACTTTCTAACAGCTTCTTATTTAAGGTTAGATACTAAATTTGATTAAATCTTCTAATCTAAGTGATTATGTAACTTTTTCTTGTATTTTTACTCACATGGATAATCGACATTCGTTTTTAATGGTTAACCATCTTTTAGTATATCCAGTTTGTTATTAATATATGTTATTAATATATGATTTTGTATATTGTTTAACACAATAATTTTTCTTTATTTCTATTGCTTTTTATTAAAGAGATGTTCCTTAAATTCCTTTTTATTTCATGTCCTTGTCTGATTGTGCCATCAATACAATGTTGGATGTACAAGGGACGTCTTTACTGCATTAAATGATGATACTATTGTAGGCTTTGTAAGAACAGAACAAGGTATCTTTATTTTCCCAAAGAAGCTGTTTATTTAATGAGTACAAACTTCATAAGTACAACATTAGAAATATAGTAATTCAGCTGGTGCTGTGGCTCACTAGGCTAATCCTCCGCCTGCGGCGCCGGCACCCCGAGTTCTACTCCCAATTGAGGTGCCAGATTCTGTCCCGGTTGCTTCTCTTCCAGTCTAGCTCTCTGCTGTGGCCTGGGAGTGCAGTGGAGGATGGCCCAGGTCCTTCAGCCCTGCACCAGCATGGGAGAGCGGGAGGAAGCGCCTGGCTCCTGCCTTGGGATCAGCACAGCGCGGCAGCCATTTGGGGGGTGAACCAACCAAAGGAAGGAAGACCTTTCTCTTTCTCTCTCTCTCTCGCTAATTCTGCCTGTTTAAAAAAAAAAGGAAGATAGTAATTCTGCTGATCATGCTCACCCTTCACACCCACTCCCACCCACATTCTCCTCTTTCTCTAATTCTCACCCATTCTCCACTAAGAAAAAAAAGAACTCTTTCTACACAGTCAATAAAAGTGAAGTTCAAGTCATTGCTTCTTAAAGTGTCAATTTCACTTCTACAGATTTCCTTTCAGGTGCTCTATTAGTTATCACAGATCAGGGAGAACATTTAGTATTTGTCCCTTTGGAAATGGCTTATTTCACTAAGTATGATGATTTCAGATTCATCCATTTTGCAAATGCCTCAATTTCATTTTTTAACCACTGTGTAGCATTCCATAGAGTACATATCCCATAAATTTTTTTATCCATTTTTCAGTTGACAGACATTTAGGTTGATTCTGTGTCTTAGCTATTGTGAATTGAGCTTCAGTAAACATGGAGGGGTGCAGATAACTCTTTTATTTGCTGATTTCATTTCCCTTGGGTAAATTCCCAGGAGTAGGATGGCTGGGTCATATGGTAGGTCTATATTCAGATTTCTAAGGTATCTCCAAACTTATTTTAATGATGATTTTACCACCACCAACAGTGGATTAGGGTACCTTTTTCCACACATCCTGGCCAGTATTTTTAGTTTGATTTCTGTATGAAAGCCATTCTAACTGGGGTGAAATGAAACCTAATTGTGGTTTTGATTTGCATTTCCCTGATGGCTAGTGATCCTGAACCATTTTTCATGTGTCTATTGGAATTTTGGATTTCCTCTTTTGAAAAATATCTGTTTAAATATTTGGCCCATTTCTTAAGTGGGTTGTTTATTTTGTTGTTGTGGAGATGCTTGATCTATTTATATATTCTCATTATTAATCCTTTATCATTTGCATTGTTTGTAAATAATTTCTCCCATTCTGTTGGTTACCTCTTCACTTTCCTGAGTGTTTCTTTTGCAGTACAGAAGCTTCTCTATTTGATGTAATCTCATCTGTTAATTTTTGGCTTTGGCTGCCTGTGCCTCTGGGATCTTTTCCAAGAACTCTTTGCCTTTGCCAATGTCTTACAGGGTTTCCTAAATGCTCTCCAGAAATTTGATAATATCAGGTGATAGATTTAGGTATGTAATCCATTTTTAATTGATTTTTGTGTATGGTATAAGGTAAGGGTTCTGCTTCAGATGCCCACATGTAGAAATCCAGTTTTCCCAGCACCATTTGTTGAAGAGACTGTCTTTGCTCCAGGGATTGGTTTTAGCTTCTTGGTCAAATAGAAGTTGGTTGTAGATGCTTGGATTGATTTCTGATGTTTCTATTCTGTTCCATTGATCTATCCATCTGTTTTTGTACCAGCACCAGGCTGTTTTGATTATAACTGCTTTGTAATATGTCTTGAAATCTGATATTGTGATGCCTCTTTCTTTGTCTTTTTTTGTATAAGATTGCTTTAGCAATTCAAGTTTTCCAATGCCTCCAAATGAATTTCAGTATCATTTTTTCTAGATCTGCGAAGAATGCCTTTGGTATTTTGATTAGTGTCACATTGAATCTGCAAATTGCTTTAGGAAGAATGGACATTATGATGATATTGATTCTTCCAATCCATGAACATGGGAGATTTTTCCAATTTTTTGTGTCTTCTATTTCTTTCTTCAATGTTTTGTAATTCTCATCATAAAGATCTTTGACATCCTTGGCTAAATGTATTTCAAAGAATTTGATTTTTTTGTAGCTGTTGTGAATGTGATCAATCTTAGAAGTTCTTTTTCAGTCATGGCATTGTCTGTATATACAAAGGCTGTTGATTTTTGTCTTATTGACTTTGTATCTTGTTACTTTACCAAAGTCTTTTATGGGTTCCAATAGTCTCTTGGTGGAGTCTTGTGGATCCCCTATATATAGAATCATGTCATCTGCAAATAGGGATAATTTTACTTCCTCATTCCCAATTTGAATCCCTTATTTCTTTTTGTTGTCTAATGACTCTGACTAAAAGTTCCAGGACTGTACTTGTGGGGAGCAACCCGGACTAGACTGAGTTACTGGAATTAAGACTTATTCTATGCATCTGCTCTCCCACAATATGGCGCTGGGAGAGAAGAAAACAGCTTCTACACAGCTGCCTCCAGTTCAGCCAATAAACTGTAGGACTTGCTCCTGATTGGAGGAGAGCAGCGTACTCAGCGTGTGGGCAGCCAAGTTAGGATTGGCGGAGGAGGACTATAAAGGAGGAGAGAGACGGCATGCACCAGGAACATCTAAGGGGAACATCTAAGGGGAACACCTGTGCAGCCCCCGAGAGAGCCGGCCGGCGGTGTGCTGCTCCCCTGCAGAAGTGGGGAATGTGGCCAGGGGGAACCGCCCTTCCACAGAGGTGGAAGGGACGGTAGCCAACCCGGGAAGAACCAGCAGCAAACCCGGGGAGGGCCGAGCAGACAAAAGAACAGCACAGGGTCCTGTGTTGTTCCTCCACGAAGACGGGGAGCGACATAATGGTGCCGTGACTCGGATAGGAAACCTAGGACGGATAGGAAACCTAGGAGGGAAAGACCGGGAAGAACTGGGAAAATATCGGAGAGAGAGACTAGCAAACAGCCTAGGGAAATTACCGGAGAGAGAGACTAGCAAACAGCCTAGGGAAAAGCCGGACGAAAAAGGTGCCGGAAGAAGCTATTGAAAGCCTAGGCATAGACTCGGATACGGACTACGGGGGGAAGCTGGGAGAAATCTCTAAGGTCGAAAGCGAAAGTGAAAGCTAGAACAAACAGACTCGGATGCGGACTGTGGGGAGAGGCCAGGAGAAATGAGGGAGGAGTATTGTTGGAGGAAAGCTTGGGGAAACATACCGGGTAGAGAAAAATGTTAGGGAAATTGAAGCCGCAGGGGCAGGCCGAGGCGGAAACGAAAGCCACTTTGGGATTCTCAAGTTAGCCCGGGAATAGGGGGCGAAAAGTTGAAACCAGAAGCGGAAACGTAAGCCGGATTGGGATCCGTCTGATTAGCCCGGGGAGCAAAGGACGGGAAGCCAGATCGTGGGGCGGAAACGTGAGCTGGGTTGAATTCGCCAGGCTAGCCCGGGGAACTTAGATTGAATGCTAGTGGCGGACACGTAAGCTACGCTGTGTGACTCGTGGAGGCTGCTGCGTGCAGACAGAGCGTGCGGGGCTCAAGTACATAGGGAACGCGGGGCTAGCGCGGAGACTGCGGAGTGTGCGCGCAAAGCCGAGCCGCGCAGAGCCGCGAAGCCGCACAGATGAGAGAGGCGCGGGCTGAAGCGGCTCAGAGCCAGAAAGCTGCTGAGAAGCAGCCTCGGGGCGGGCGCAGCCGGGAAGCCGCGGGGATAAGAGAAACAGAAGTTTAGAAGTAAAATGAGAGCGGGAAGCTGCGGGGATAAGAGAAACAGAAGTTTAGAAGTAAAATGAGAGAAATAGGAATGCTGGAAGATAGAAGTAAAATGGGAGAAATAGGAATGCCCGGAGATAGAGAAATAGAGAAATAGAAAGGCCTCCCCTCAACATGGCAATGAGAAAGCTTGGATTCGGTCTGCCCGATTAGTGAGGCGATGAGCACCTGCGGCGGCTAGCAGCTTATGCGCCGCAGGTCACTGAAGACAGGCACAAATTAACATCAGAAAGGCCTCCCCACAATACTGCAATTAGAAGGCTTGGATTCGGTCTGCCTGATTAGGGAGGCGGTGAGCACCTGCGGGC